GTTGGAAGCATCTAAGGGGAGATGGACCGAGGAGCTCCCGATAGTCCTCTGGTCATACCGAACTACTCCTCGACTCGCAACCAGCGAGACACCATTCTCCCTTGCATTCGGGATGGAGGTCGTCATCCTACTAGAAATTGACTTTCCAATAGGGAGGTCTTATTTGGTAGAGAATGGCATTAACGAAGATTTGAACTTGAAAGAACTTGACCTAGTTGAAGAAAAATGTGAAAGAGCGTCACTCCGACTAGCGAAGTAGTAGCAAAAAATTACTCGGGGCATATAACAAATGCGTAAAACTTCGACGGTATCTGATCGGCGACCTAGTCTTAAAGAAGGTCCTTCCAAATGACTGTAAGGCTGCATATGGGAAACCTGGGCCCAATTAGAACGAACCATATCAAGTCAGTGATCTGGCTGGGGAAGGAGCATATGAGATTGCCGACCAGCAGGGAACGTACTCCCAAGGCCATCGAATGCAATGCATTTAAGAAAATATTACCATTAACCTTGTAGCTATTATGTAATAATGCTTGGATAGAATACATAATGAATAAACAAGGTTGCATTATATATTTCTCATACAAAAAGGCACAAAATAAGTTCTTAGTTCATTAACACTTTACAGCAAATACAAGTAATGGACATAACACAAAACGAAAAAAAACAAAACAAAACAAAACAAGACAAAAACTAGGATATGCCTAGTGCCACTACAAACTATCTAATTCAGGCGAAATTGGGACTTCAAGATTCAGCAGAGGTACTTGGGAGTATAGCTCAGATGATTTGGTTATTCCCACTTTCTTCATTGTCGCCATCCAGCCCTCTTTAAAAAAGAAATTCTCCAGCTTATTCATTTGATCGAGATAGGCGGCATTTGTTTTATTTCATGTGGCTTCGGCATTTGCCTTCAATTCAATGTCTCGCTGGTCCTTAACCTCTTCTATAGTGATTTTCAAGGCTTTATGGTCTGATATCAGCCTGTCAAGCAGCTGGGTTGCAACTTCAAAATTTTATTTGGCCGTCATTTGGGCCAACTCAGCTGTGGCAACTCGACTTTAAGCCAGCACTAGCTCCTTTCGCGAACTATGTTGTTCGATCGTTATCTGCTTTCTTTCATCGATAATTAACCTTCTCTCCTCCTTCATTTTTCTCTTTTCCTCATCTTACCGATCTCTCTCTTTAGTCAACCAAACTCCCGCCTCCATGAATTGGTTGACGGCTTGCATTATCATACATAAGTGTTAGATCATCATAATAATCATAATCAAAATTCGAAATCATGACTGTCTTACCATTACTAAGTTCTGAATTCCATGGCCCAAAATTTGTTGATTGGATTGTCCCTTCAGGCGGTGAATATCTTCGAGAATATGCATACCTTGCGCCATGGCAAGGGTAACCCCAGCATCGGAGAATACAGAGTCATGAGTGTTCAATGCTCAATCTCCTACCATTAGTTGAAATATACTCAATAGAACCTTCTCTTGTGTCCCCGGTCTCCTCCTTGCTAGCTTGTATACACTGGCGACTTGATGACGGAAGTGCACCACCAGGTGGTCGATCAGCCAATCTGCGTTGACCACGTGCACTGGCCTCATGGTTAACCCTTTGCACAACTTCAGATTACCTGGTCAAACGATGTCTCCTAGTCATTTCGGGCACAGAAGACTCCGACGATTCAGTTCGCACAAGGATCGTCTCTAGTTGACAAACTCCTTCCTGGTTCACCTCTTCAAGTACTAAGGACAGCAATGGCCCTATCTCCTAAGCTTCTTCGAGAGCTTCAGTGGCAACATCGGGGGCAGGAAGCGGCAATGAAACAACAGTTACCCATGGGAGAAATTGATCTATTAATACTTCGGCCGATCGGGAGGCAGCGACAGTACACCTACAAACTGTTTGTGGAGCTTGCAGGTTCACGCACTAAGACTCGTTATGCCGATCTGTATTTATGAAGCGATGATTTGTAGAACATAAGAAGTAAAGGCTTTGTGATCAGTATAGTGCATATGAACTGCAAAAATTATTAAACCATAAAAATCTTTGATGCTCACCAGCACCCAATACCTAGGGCACAGTAGCAACACCCTCGGCAAAAAGAGGAGATGGAAATTTCCAGCTTCTTGAAACCATAACTACATCTTCTGATTCCATGGCAAAGGTCTCAAGAAGCAACCGAACAAGTGATCTATCTTGATCACGATGTTTAGACACGAAGAAAAACACCTCCAAGGGTGTTTGGTATAGGCTATAGTGTGGTTCGACTTTTCGTACTCCTTTCGAAAGACGAATAGCCTCACAGTTCAGACTACTGTGGTTCTGAATCTAATTTCACAAGTGCAATGTGAAACAGTGAAAAGACAAAAAGAGTCCAAATCCAGTAATTCTTTTAGAAAATCGATGTTTGAATCAAATGCCAAAAATGGACTGCTTTGCCAGATTTCAGAGTCGCCACCTAAATATTTTTGGAAAATTTAGGAAACCTAAGACTCGTGCCAAAGGCCATTAGTCCGTCATCACCAAAGTGTCTTGGCTTGGGAACTTAGGTACGAGAGGGGAAGGTCATGAATTGAGCACCCCACTCATCCGATCAAAGATCGGCCTCTACTAATCATGATATGTATACTAAGAAACAATGTGCACTAAGGTAAGTAGGCATGTGGAAATAGAATTTCCCAACCATTTGGCTAGGTAGCTAAAAGCTACCGGTGAAATTACAGTTATACCCTCCATATTGTTTAAATGAGCCACATGGGTGAAAGTGGTTATTTTCTAAAATGGGTAGAGGTATTTTGGTCATTTGATTATGAAGTGACAGCATAAATAAATATTAATTAAAAAAATCCAAAAAAAATAGTTTTTTTACCAACTTCCCAAATGACTTTCTGAAAAAACCAAAAAGCTTGGTTAAAAGCCAAAAACCAGCTTTTAACCATCTTCCCAAAACACCTCATAATATAAAATATATATATTTTTATAGTATCCTTACTATATTCTTATCCTATTGTTTTTTTTTTGGGACAATTATTGTTTATGTCCGTCCTTCATAAATATTAAACAAATACTCCTGATCATCGCTTCTCTTCTTTTATAATTTTTATATTTTTGGCCTCAACTTCATTTTATTTCACTGGTTGCAGAACTAGAAGTACACAAAGTGTTATTTATTTATTTATTATTATTATTATTATTTTAAAGATCGAAGAAGCAGACAAAGTTGGGTAGGTCATTTTGTACAAACCAACTATTCAGACACTGTTGGAAATTAGACTTTTAGCGGCGTTTAAAAAACGCCACTATAAGTACTATAAACGTCACTAATTCTATTTGTGACGTTTAGTACCAAACGTCGACTACGCGGCCATCGCTATAGCTTTATGACGTTTGGAAAACATCGCTGTATTAGTATAGACGGCGTTTTTAAAAACGCCGCCAAATGTCCTACCCTAACGGTACTGTGACGTTACTATTGTTTTAGCGATGTTTTTAAAACGCCGTCATAGGTTTTTTTAATTTTAAAAATTTCAACCCTTACAGTGGCATTTTAAAAACATCGTCTTATCCTTTTTTTTTTGTTTGTTGAAATTGTGCTAATTTTATGTGATTAAACTAAAAGAACACCTGTAATAAAACTAAATAACACTAATATGAAATAATAACTCCCATTCAAATAGCAAATACAACATTAATTCATTTTCCCATTCAATTTAATATCCAATCACCATTACCCACAAAATAACACATTCAAAAATTGAATTCACAATTCTCAATCAAAAAATTACTACCTTATATACAAAGCCACAAAATAACATTACCCTCTTCTCTCTCTCTCTCAATCTCTCTCTCACCACTCCTCCATTTAACCCAAAAAATAAAAAGAAAGTAAAGCAAAACACCCAATCCCCCAGTCAGATCAGAGGAAAAAAAAGAAAAAAAAGAAGAGAAATAAAAATCCAAAGGATTTTAACACAAAAAATAAGAAAAAAGTGAACCAAAACACCCAACCCCCATCCATCCTTCACAGTCGTTCTGAATCGCTTTCCATGCTGCTTCCCATGGCCTTCAATCTTCTTGGTCTCTGCCAATCGTAAAACATAATAATAATAAAAACAAAGCCAATAAAAGATGTGTAGTAGATAGATAACAAAAATAAATATGAGAAGTTCAAGCTACTGAATGTTATTTTAAATAGTCACATTAGGTCAAATTAACCTTGAATATTTCAAACTACTAGAAAGTACACAATCCCATGTCATACTCAACGTAATGTTTCTCTGAAAAAAGAAAAATAAACTACAAAAAATTACTAAGAATATTAATGCCAAAGCACAAAGAGAAAAGTACCTACACACATGTCACACCATCAGTAACAAAGGCAACTAAAACACACATTTACTATGTTAACATGAATGCAAATACAAATCTAAAGGCATGTACATTCTTAATGAGAACCAGGTCAAAAATTGCCTCACCATGTTAGACAACCACACGCCTCATTCATGTACATTCTTAATGAGCTTTAATACCATATTCAAGAAATTGACATAACAAATTACAAACACAGAGAGAGTATTTAGTTTCTTACGAGCCAAATTCCAATCTAAAGAACATATTTTAGCACAACATAACCAAGCCTATGTGCAAGTAACTACCTGGAACCCATGATCACGGGCAATATCGATGACAGTTTTTCGTGTGATCCCTGGAAGAATAGTCCCACTGGTTGGTGGAGTCGAAATAAGATTTCCCTGTGACGGTTGATATATACATGAGTCTACAGTCGATATAAATTTGTTTAATTCTAGGAAATACTATTAAAACCAATGTAAGTTAAAAATTTCGTAAAAGCTAAATAGAGGCAAATAGTTATATCCCAAATGGAACTTACAGGAGTAAATTATGAGAAGAGAAAGGGAGAAAGTCTTACCTCATTATAGTCAACAAACATGTTATTTGCACGCAAATATGCTTTAATCATTGCCACCTGAATTTTAACACAGATAAGTACAACCTCGCTAAAATTTAAATAAAAGCAATAAGATGAGACATACATCAAACATCATGGTCATTAGATTTATGCACACACATGAAGGTTGAAAATACTTACAGTTTCATCACTTCTTCCAGTCAATTTCAGATATTGCAAAGTAACCATGTCAACAGGAAAGAACCCCATTGTTGCACCATACTCAGGAGACATATTGGCAATAGTGGCCCTGTCAGCTTATGATATTTTACCCACGCCTTCTCCTACATGAAGGACATATTAGTGAGTTAGACCTGTTGTGGACGAAATCATGGCAGTTGAAAATCACTAAGGCTTAAATTTTTATTACCATAGAACTCAACAAATTTACCAACAACACCATGCTTCCTTAGCATTTGGGTCACAGTTAAAACCAAATCAGTAGCTGTGACACCATTGTTTAATTTTCTAGACAGCTTGAATCCAACCACACCAGGCAACACCATACTCATTGGCGGTCATATGTGACTAAATAATTCTTATTTAAGCATGTAATATGTATACAAGAAATAATACTAAAGTGATAGAGAACATGATAATTAAGTAAAGTTTAATTATCAAGAAATAATTCTTGTAATATGTATATACAAGAAATAATACTAAAGTTTAATTTTCCAGACAACTTGAATCCAACCTCACATGACATCTCAAAGGCCTCATAGGATTGTTAGTCAAGAGCGTAACTCACCGAGGTATTGGACAAACAACCGAACCCTTCTAATCAGGAACAGAAACAAAGCCTATAATCTCCTGATTAGGAGACATAAAGGCATTGCTATGCTGAAAATCACAATAATTCATCTTCAAATTCCGCATAAGAACGCCTATTCATCATATCAACACAACAGTTTCAGCTATCAAAAACATGGGTGGGTGTATGACCCAAAACCCAAAAATTCCTCCTTACAACAAGACAATCAATATCACACAATTAACAAATCCCACCAACTTTCCCAAAAAAAAAAAAAAAACTGATTTGGAAGGGTATGTGCAATTCAAATTAAAGTATTACAACAAGCTTGTATTGTGATGTTTTCAAACTATAGCCTATATGTTGATCAAATGGTAGAGTCATGTTATATTGTACACACAACAGCAGATTTTTGGGAGGGATTTGTGCAAATTAAAGTGAACAAATTTAAGCTTCTAGAATTGTCATTTCAATAGAACCATTTGGCCCAACTAGAATTGTCATTTCAATGCTATAACACAGGACCTTATAGGCAAACTAATTGCAAAAAAGAAGCAACAATTCTCACCAGTGATCAACTACTCCAGGAAATGCACAAGCAAGATACCTACGAATTGCATGACTGCAAAGCATATCAAATGCATAAGATAGTCAATATAAGCTTAAAAACAGAATGTATAATTTAGAACGTTAAAAGAACAAAAAGATTGAAGAGCATCATCCCAAAATTTTGTAGATGCAGCAGTGACCAACAGTCTCTACAATTCATATATGAAAAAGAATACTAATAGTAGGGGAATGTGCATAACGGTGCCTTTAATACCTAGAGTCCAAGTACTACAAAAACTATGCAAAGAACACTTGAACTAACCAGAAGCCATGGAGGGATAAGCAAACTAAACTTTGCATTTTGAACTAGATACATATCTTATGGCTTTGTAAGATATGAAACTTCTAGAATTTCATCATTCAATTATAGGAATGACACAGAAACAAGGGCCAACTATCTAGGAATGACATAAAATTTGTGAAAATGCATTACGCCCCACTAATTTTCCTAGTTATACAATGAATCCAATTTGTCAAAATAAAAAAAGACCAAGTTATCATAGGATTTGAGATTCTGAATGAAACAGAAAAACAAGACTCGTAATTCAGTGAAAGATTTGAGTGGGTTGTGCAATTTTGATAATGGTCTAATCGAACAGCTTTCTCATAATGAATAAGTAAATCTAAACTGACTTGATTAATCATTTTTTAAAACAGAACCAACCAATTTTTAACTTTAATTTTCCCCCTGATGATTAGTTTACACCAATGAACATCTCTACCCACTCCCATTTCATTGACTATGCAAGAAAAATAACCTTTGCAAATACACCAAATTCTCACCTATTTTGTTTTGTATATAATATTTAATTTCAATAGACCACACAAAAGGTACGCAACTATTGTGGGAGACACATACCTCAAAATATAACAATACCTTTGTATAGCGAGAAAGAGATGGACCATCCTTTGCAAGGCTAGAAAAAAGAAATATGGAGGAGAAGAATGAGAAGATGAAGAAAGTGAAGAAGATGAAAATGCATTTCCCACAATTGTAGAAAGTCCATTATTCAGTTGCTTGAGAAGACGAGAATAGTTTGGCTACTCAAGTAACAAAACTACTATCAGAAGACAACAATGACTTAAAAATAATAGTAATAATAATAAGAGAATGAATAATAAATCTTTACCACGGTGGTCCTATTTGCCTCATCCATCAATGATGCACCAGCAAGCATTTCTTTAATGTCAATTCCCTGAAATAAGAATCTATTGTAAGTAATTGCAAAGTCCTAAAGTAGAAAAGATGACACATTGAATTCTGCATATAAGGACAACTTACCTGAAGCATTGCTGAAGTAGAAAAGTCTCTTACATGCTTCTTTCTTTTCAATTGTTAGCTTTTTAAGCTGAAAAACAAACTCTTTTTTTTTTCTTAAATAGCCAAAAAGTGGCTTTTTTAGTCAAAAAAGCAGAGCCTTAATATGATGTTTATATGTTTAGGCAACGTATATGTGGAGTTCTCCATCTAGATAGCTTTTTACTACTGCTGACCTTATTTGTATTGCATTGCTAAACCCAACACGGATACAAAAATTTGAGGAATGTTCATAAAACAAGGCCCTAGCCAGTAGTAGGTCATAAGGAAAGAGGGGGAAAAACGCTACAAGACCAAGGAAAAACGCAACAAAACCAAAATAAATTCCCATCAGCCATTCTAATATGAGGACATTTCAACCCTAGCTCATTCCTCCCTCCGTTTCTAAATAATGATTATTTTATGAGTTATTCTAATATAAAACGTTCATTGTTTAAAGGCCTCTAGGTGCGTTGTTTAAATCCAATTCCTCAAGTGCTTCAATTAAACTAGGCAATGGGATAAGTTGCACACTTGATGAGTATGTAGTATGCAGCACCTATATTTGTTCTATTTCTATTTGTAGAGTTGAGATGTCAAATACCTAACAGTATTTGAAAGAGTGGTAGATGATTTTTTGCATTTACTAGTAAAAGTCCAGACATTAAATTAGGCAATTAATGCAAAATGAAAAATGAAAATGATAACAAAATACAGAATAAGTCAAAAAAAGATTATTCAGAACAGGCCATTGACTCAGTATGAAGATAAATTCAGTTTAATAATGCTAACTGCACAATTGAAATTCAACTAGTTATCAGAAATCTAATCTTCCCGCAACAAATTCCCATAGTTTGGCTAAGCTACCGGCCAGATTTTAACCATGCGAGTGTAAATGATCTCAAATCCAACAAATGTCATAATCACAAGCACATCTGGCATTTTCTGAAAACAAAAAACAACATATTAAGGAAGAATGACAAAGCAAACAAAAGAAGAAATTGAACAGGTTTCCAAGCAAATAAATACCAAATCGAGAGAGATGGGAAGGAAGGGCTTGAGAGAGAGAGAGAGAGAGAGAAATCGATACCTCGCTAGAGCTTTGAAATCGAGAGAGAGAACTTCAAAATCGAAATCACTCTGAGATCAAATCACTAAGACCGATCTAAATCTCTAAATCTCAAAGCTGAAGAGAGAGATCTAGAGAGAGAGAGAGACATCGCTCTGGAGCTTCGAAATAGAAATCGCTCGCCGATGGTGGTCGCTACCTTGCCGGTGGTGGCGGTGGAGCTTCAAAATTGAAATCGATTTAAAAGATGACACAGCTCTGGAGCAACATCGTGAGAATGATAAGGGTTTAGAGAGGGTTGAGAGAGAGGCGAGATTTGAAGGCATGAGGATTCAAAATAAGGGTTTACAAAGGCTTTAACAATTATTCTCAGATTCAAAATAAGCTTCGAAATTGAGAAAGAATCACCCAAACATAGATTTCGAAATCGAAATCGAAATCGAGAGAGAGAACTTCGATTAGGGCTACAGCGAGAGATGAAGGAGAGCGAGAGAGCGAACGAGAGGTTGAGAGGGTGAGAGACTGAGAGATTAGGGCTACAAAATGTTATATTTGATATTCACCCGCTTGCCCACTTAAGAGAGGGAGAGAGATAGGACATTCCAAGGCGTTTTCAAACGCCTTTGGTTAATGAAATGGTGCCATTTTGATTTAAACAAAAAGCAACGTTTAAAAAACGTCGTTAAATATTATAAAATGTGGCGTTTAATAAAATGTCGTTAAATAAACGTCGTCAAAACTCATATTTCTTGTAGTGAGATACATTGATCCTAGATTACTAACTTTCTAAAGTTACTGTTTTTTTTATATATCTGTCAATGTCTTTATAAATGTTGCATTTTATTAACTAAAAAGAAAAAACTATGACTAACTCAGTGTCGTTTATGTAATATGCTATATATTGTACAAAAAATAATAATAATAAAGCATTAATTTCCTCAATGGTTCTCAAAATATGAGTCTCATTACATTTTAATTTTCAACCTTTAATACTATGTTTGATAACTCATGAGAGAAAAATAGATAAATAATTATATAAATTAGGAGAAAAAATAAGAGAAATGATTGTGATTTCTCTTCTTCTTATTTGCGTGAATAGGAGAGAAAATAATAATAATAATTTCTCTCTTATATTGTTTGGTTAAGCTTTATAAAAGAAGATAAAATCATATCAATTTACATAACTAAATTAACTTTTTATAAGGATAAATTACAAAATAAAAATAAATAAGTAACTTTTATTTGGCTCTGGCTTACAAAGACTTTTGTGGTCACTCATCACTCAAATTTTCTTTTATTTATTTATCAGTAAGTTGCATGGTTATTTCTTAAAATTTAAAATAGAGTCATTTTTCTGATAAATTCTCTTTCTAAGTTTTTTATTCCATCTAACCCATATTCTAAGTCCTGTTTAATGTAATATGACCAAATCATCCTTCAATTTTTTGCATATGTTTCTATTTTGAAACGAATACATAATAGTACCTCATTTTATGGAGAAAATATCTCCCTCATTTATTCCATGAAAAAAATCTCTCCATTATTCTAAGGAAAAAATATCTTCCGCATTCCATAGAGAAAATATCAAATTATGAATTTTGAACCTTTTATAATTTGAAAATTTTAAAGGTAACACAACAAAAAATATGAATGAAAATCAAAATACAATGTGAATATTCATAGTAAACAACAAACATACAACTAACTTTTGAAAAAACAAAACACATATTAAAATACAATGTGAATGTTCACAATAAACAACAAACATACAACTAACCTTCGAAAAAATAAAATTCATACCAAAATACAAAGTGAATGTTCACAATTTATAATTAACATACAACTAGCCTTAAAAAAAAATAACTCATACCAATGTAAACATTTACACTGCAATGTGAAAACATAAAACAAAATTAAAAAAAGAGAAAATTGACTATTTCAATTGTTCAACATTAACAAAAAATGATTATTCAACTAAAAAATAGTAACAAAAACAACAAACATACAATTAACTTTCGAAAAAACAAAACTTATACTAAAATACAATATGAATGTTCACAATTTACAATTAATATACAACTAGTTTTAAAAAAGTAAATAAACTCATACCAATGTAAACATTTACACTGCAATGTGAAAATATAAAATAAAATTGAAAAAAGTAAAAATCAATTATGCTAATTGTTCAATGGTAACAAAAATGATTGTTCAACCAACAAGTATAGTAAAAGAAAAACAAAATACAACTATTTTCGAAAAAATTTAAAAAAAATAAAAATAAAAGAAAACTCATACCAAAATATAATGTGAATATTCACAATTTACAATTAACATACATCTAACCTTAGAAAAACTAAATTCATACCAATGTGAATATTCACACTGCAACATGAAACAAAATTGAAAGGAAAAAAATGATTATTTCAATTGTTTAATGGTAACAAAAAAATAATTGCTTAAACAATAAGTATAGTAACAATTAACCAATGATATGTGAACATTCACATCTTCAAAATATATAATTATGTTCATATCTATATTCCAACACTTATTTATCAGACTTTCAAATATTTTCGAAAAAATTTAAAAAAAATAAAAATAAAAGAAAACTCATACCAAAATATAATGTGAATATTCACAATTTACAATTAACATACATCTAACCTTAGAAAAACTAAATTCATACCAATGTGAATATTCACACTGCAACATGAAACAAAATTGAAAGGAAAAAAATGATTATTTCAATTGTTTAATGGTAACAAAAAATAATTGTTCAAACAATAAGTATAGTAACAAATAACCAATGATATGTGAACATTCACATCTTCAAAATATATAATTATGTTCATATCTATATTCCAACACTTATTTCTCAGACTTTCAAACAATGTGAAATATGAATATTCACATTGATTGACAAAAAAATAGAAATAATGGCATCAATAGAATTAGAAATCCAAAACAAAAAAAACTCAATCACTCTAAAATCAAAAAAATATCACCCACATCCTCATCTTCATTTTTATCATTATCACTATCATTAACAATCTATGCAATTTCACCATTCCACCAATCCAAATCAAACCAAACCCACCTTTGACAAATATGTTTGTAACAAAATTGATTGGATATAAATAGAGTTTCGACTTACAACAATGGAGAAACATAGAGTTTCGAACACAAAGCAATAATGGACGAACACAGAATTTCGAACACAAAGTGACAATGGAGGAACACAAAATTTCACCACAATAATGGAGGAACATAATATTATTTCACCACCATGTGTAAACTAAAGTTTCTAAACCCTACCAATAGTGAGTTTTGAAACCCTAGTACAATGAAACAATACCATAAATGTGAATAAAACTGATCAAAAATAAAAACGTGAATAATGGTAACTACCAAAACAGAGGTAGTAACAAAAAAGAAATGTGTATATCCTTTTTCTATGTAATATATATCAACAATAGACATAAGGGTATAATAGTCCAACAAATAATGTAAATCAGGAAAAAAAAGGACCTCATGGAATAAAAGTATAAACATATGTGACTAATTAGGTTATAATATTTCTTAGTGAACTTATTGGGTTAGAACACCTCTAAATGAGATTTATCAATAAGAACCCTTTAAAGAATATATAATCAGTTTTACAATTTTGAGATAATTACATTTATTTACCCTTTTCTTTTTAGTAAAATTAAAGAGACCGATACTAATATAGATGGTGTAAAAACACAACGATAAATAAGAAAAAAATTTACATTTAAGTATAAAAGAAATAATATTATTTTTTCATTTATATTATGACTAACAAATTTTTAATAAAAATAAGATTACTGGTAAGGAAAATTTATCCATAAATCCCATATAGGGAATGTTGATCCATTTAATTCTAAGAGTTTTCTTATGAACCAATTAGTCCTTTTTGTTTTGAAAAGTTGTATTTATTTAATCAACAATGCTTGTTAGCCCAAATTTTCATAGCCCGAATGGCTCGAATGTATCAAAACGACGTTATTTTGTGGGTAAAACGACGTTGTTTTGCGGGTAAAATGACATCGTTTTTATAATTCGAGTCATTTGAGTCACACAAATTCGAGCTACCAAGCATTTTTCTTATTCAATTTAGTGCCATTTGAGTTTAGTGAATGTCCTTTTATGGTTCATTTTTCTAATTTTCTGATTCCTTTTTGGGATAGGAATGAAAAGGTGAGGTGTGGAAAAATCTTTTTGGAGGGGTGGTGGTTGAAGTGTTGATTGTCGAGTATTGAAATCTACATTTTTGTTAGTGTGGTTTTTTTGATGTTACATTGGAGTATCACATTAGAGTGCTACATTTGGAAAAAGTGCACTAATAAATTTTTGTGTGTTACATTGATTAGAATGTTGCGTTTGAAAAAAAATACACTAAGGAGTTTTTTTAGAATGTTATGTTGTTACGTTTGAGAAAAGTACACTAAAGAATTTTTTAGTGTATTACATTTGAAAAAAGTATACTAAGTAATTTTTGTGTGTTTACATTGATTTGAGTGTTACATTTGGGAAAAATACACTAAAGAGTTCTTTTTATAATGTTACGTTATTACGTTTGAAAAAAATATACTAATGAGTTTTTTAGTATGTTACATTATAGTGTTATGTTTGAGAAAAGTATACTAAAAAGTTTTTTAATATGTTACATCGGAGTGTTACATTTGAGAAAAGTACGCTAGGAAGTTTTTTTGAAGTGTTATATTTAGTAATTTCAACATTATGAGAAAATCCACATTTGTCCCTCAACACATAACACACACGTGTTTATACTTGGCCCTTTATGGAATTCACATTAGAATGAGGTTTTTGGATCCATAAGGGGGAAAAAAAAAAAAGAGGACTAAATAGTTCATAAGATTACTATTTAAGATTTATTGGCGCTTTACCCTAATTGTTATGCTAATTAAAATATTAAAAAAAATTCAATATAATTATTGTAAAATTATGAAAAAGTTAACTTACCTTTATTTTTATTTTATTTTTTTTGAGAAAAAATAAATTCATTTGAATTATTGAGAGACGCAGACTTGGTGCTCTTCTTTTTTCTCTTTTTCTATGGGAGTCGTTATTCTCATTCCACTTTACTTAAAACATACTCCTTTTTTTATTTTTTATTTATCCTTATTATACATAGAAGAGATTGTATTTAGAGTAAAGTGTAGTAAGAATAGTAACTATATATATTAAGGACAAATAAGAAAATGTATTTAGAATAAAGTGGGGTGGGAATAGCGGCTTCCTTTTCTATTCTATGATTCTATCATCATCATCATCATATAATTCTTTATTTTTATTTTCTAAACATATATATATATGTATATTATGTATATATACACCAACATATAATTGTTAAAATCTTGTTTAGAGCTCTAAGTATAATACTGGAGGATTTTTCATCGCCAAATCCATGTAAGTTCTCTCTCTCTCTCTCTCTCTCTCTCTATATATATATATATATATATTGTAGGGGGTCTGAAGTAAATGGTGATTATAAGAGTAATCGGAGAGGGAAAACTATATTAATGAGCCAACAAATCTGGGTTAACCAGAGAATGAGTAGCCGGGTGAGGGTGGAGCAAGTGATTCAAGATGAAAGAAATAGCAATACATTTTTTTTGTCCTTATTATACATAGAAGTGAGTGTATTTAGAGTAAAGTGTAGTAAGATTAATAACTATATATATTAAGGACAAATAAAAAAAATGTATTTAGAATAAAGTGGGGTGGGAATAGCGACTTTGTCAAGACCCAAACCCGCCCCTATAAGTTTAGCGTCATGACCGGCCAGTAATCACGGATTACCTACGGCCTCTATACAAATATCCAACCAATATTAAATACGGGGCTTAGCGGAAGCAAATTAAATATAGAAGAAGTCCATCGAGCTGTGCATAAATGAAAAAAGTTTACAGTAGCACTGTTCAGCCATTCCAAAGGTAGGTACTTGTACATTACAAAAGCCTCCAAAAGAATAAGCAAAATAAAACAAATAGAGGTTCAACCACAATTCAACTAGATAAAAGACATATACAAAAACCCCTATACCAAAAATTCAACTAAGAGTTCATAACAAAAGGGGTTTAGGCTTGCTTGGCTCGTCATGAGTCCAAGTGGCTCCATCTCGAGAGCTCCACAAAAGGCTAACCATGGGGTGACTTTGAGGCAATCTCTATCCTTGATGTTCAACATGCTCACCTACATATATATAAACATAAATAGTGAGCTAATGCCCAATGAGTAATAACGGGATAAAGAGATTATATAAATGAAGTTCCATAACAGTACAAATATCAATTACATTAGCCATCATGTCAATCCTTCACGATAAACAAAACCATTGATCGATAGCATATTCGATACAATTCTGATTTCAATTTAATTCTCAATGATCCGTGTTATCCCAATAACAATTCTCATTCAATGACAAATTACGTGGTACATCCAATAGAGTAACAATGAATCAGTAGCAATGGGACCTTGAGGGTCAATCAATATATTATATTCAGTTATCCAATGGGCCACGGTATTGTTTCCCCTGGGCGAAGGCCAATGGGCCATGGTATTATATCCCCCAGGCAAGGGCCTATTAAATAATGGGCCATGGTATTGTTTTTCCCAGGTGAGGGCCTATTAACAATGGGCCACGGTGTTAATTTCCCCCGGGCGAGGGCCTCACTAAAGGATGCCACGAGTTTACTTTCAAAAATGAACTTCATTCATTAGTAAAAAGTAGTACTTCGATAAATCCGATCAATCAAACATGTATCGATTTTGATAACAATAACATTTTTGAAAATAAATATCACTTGAACATATCTTTATAAAGTTATTACTCACAGTGGTTTGTGGTGACACTAAGCCTCGAGCGTCCACCTAAACGAAACACATAACAAAGTACAAATGAAACTCCATTTCATTTTAATTCAATTCTCTTTATGTGTTTCTAACTTAGTGTATGATTATAGGAGTTCAAATGGTGCCTAAGAATGCTCTGAGTGACATGAGGATGCAAATATGCACTTAAAAGAGTTGGTAAAATTTTGCTAAAAACAGGGTCTCCACTCGAGCGTAACTTTCTACGCTCGAGCGAGGGTTCAAAAACAAAGGTGGTCACTCGAGCGTAACTTCTGTCACTCGAGCGGCCTGTAAAAATACTGGGTACATGAAATTCCCGCTTGACGGTTGCTCAAGCGGAAGACTGAGAAAAAAAGGGTCCTCGCTCGAGCGCCACTTTGGTCGCTCAAGCGACCTGTGAAATTTCAGAAGGCTTCTGGGAGCTCAATTTTCATGCTCAAGCGGGGCTTCCCTCGCTCGAGCGGACAACACGAATTCTAGAATTTTCATAACTATGTTTGAAGTTCAAGCATGGTATTCAAAGCTTCAAATGTTGTGTTTTTGGTACTAAAACATGGAGAACCATTGTATAACATGAAAATACTTCCAATTTGAAACCATTTATTCGAAACCATGGCAAATTCATAACCAAAACTTCAATTTCAAGTTATAAAATAGGTTTAATTCAATTTGAGCATATATTTCTTCAAAACATATTCAAAACATAATCAAGTGACATGAGGAGCATGAAAACATGAAGGATTCTCCAGATTGAGGTATAATTGTGCCATGCATGTATGAATTTCATGAATTCCAACACAAATTATGCATGCATGTACATGTTTAACTCTTAACTTTCAAATTCAAGGTGATAGAAACGTCTATTTAACAATCCCATGCAAATGAACTCAAAACCTTGGTCAATACAACTTCTACATAGCTTGATTCCAAGAATTTAGAACGAATTACATACCTAATGTGTGAATTCAAGTGTGTTATGGCTCCAATCTTTGAATCTTCCACCAATTCTCTACAAATCTCCTCTTTCTCTCTCTAAATGTTGAACTCTCATCTCCTCTCTCTCAATTCTCAGCTAAGTGTGTGTATAAAATGAGCTCATAAGCTATCTAAAGCTATTTATATGGTGTGATTAAGTTAGCCTAATCAAATGTGATTAAGAGTAATTAATTAGGCTTAATTCTAACTAATTCAATCAGTTTATTCTAATTATTTTGATCCAAATCAAATTTCAATTAAAGTTGCCATAAAATTCTAAATATTCTAATTAGCCTATTAGGCTAGTCAATTTCAGTTTCTGAAGTCGTTTAGGCTTTCAATTTCCGACTCTAAGTTGTCAATTTAAACAGATATTCCATATTTCAACAGATAATTATAGAATTAAACATGTAATCACACAATTAAGCACATAATCATGCAATTAAACTCATTAAAATTATATAATGTACTAGTTTGGAGGTTAGGGTCGTCACATGCTTCCTTTTCTATTCTATGATTCTATCATCATCATCATCATCATAATCATCATATAATTCTTTATTTTTATTTTCTGAACATATATATGTATTATGTATATATACACCAACATATATTTGTTAAAATCTTGTTCAGAGCTCTAAGTATAATACTAGAGGATTTTTCATCGCCAAATCCATGTAAGTTTTGTTGGAACAATCTTCTGTGTACAATAAATAAATTGAAACAAAACCAAACTAATAAAATAAATAACGTACCGAATTTATTTATTGAACCGAATTAAAAATTAAAAGATGACACTCTGTCCTTGAGATAGATTCGCCCCGCTATGGTGCTTACGGACTAATGACGTCTATCTCCCAGGATACAATGATCTTCACAAATTTGTAGTAGCACTCCAAACAAATTTGTCCGGTGAACTAGAACCTATGTTCTATTCTCTCTAAATTTTTTCCTAAAAAATTATATGAAGAATAATTGATGCAAGAGAGCAAAAAGAATGCAAAAGAAATGAATTTTTCGGACTGAAAAAATCCTGGAATAGATCTAGTATTTATAGACCCAAACAGGTGTGAAAAACAAACTGAACAGGTGGGTTTTTTTAATGAACATGTACTGTTTGAATTTCAACAGATCTGCTGGACAGATTGATTTGTTTGAATTGTACAGATTCAAATCTGTTAACTATAGCAGTTTATTACAGTTATAAAACTGTAAAATAGTTTGAATCTGTTTAGGAATTTCGGACAGAAGGTGATAAAAATTAGATAGAAAATTAATTTCAATTTTGACACAAAATTGGAATTTAATATCATTACGAATTTCTAGAAAAAATTCAAATAAAATTTATCCAAAAAATTAATATTAGAACCGACCCGACTCACAACCCATACCCGCACCCGGTACGGCTCGGCCGGACGGACGGCGGCGGTAGCGTACGCGCGTGTGTGGTGGTTTGAGCCAAGGTTCCATTTGTCCATCACTCCTCCCTTCTACAAACTTGGGGTGCCCCTTAGGGCCCAACCTAAGTTAGTACACCAACAGGTTATATACCCACAAAAGCTCTCTTAAAGTTTCAATGTGGGACAACCCATTTCAAGGAAACCCAAATTTACTTCTTTAATTGTTTATTCCACGAACCCGAAAACGACATCAACTTCCCATTCACTCATAAGTGGTTTTGACAAACCATCTTCACTGTGTGACTTACCATGTGGCAAGGAATACATCACCTCTTCGGACTCACCCCAAAAGACGTTTGGGGTCTACTCAATTTTGGGCTCAAAGTTAGCCCAAAATAAGCCTTATAAAACCAAATTTTCCAACAATCCCCCACATGAATGGAATTTGACAGAGAGAAAATGCAACAACATGATCTAATTACAGAGAGTACAGAAATTGGAAATATTCTGCAAATGATAGATAGCTTTTGGCTTTGAACCTTCCCTTGTGAGATCAGATTTACTAGCTAACTAGTAAACATGATGTCTTGAACTGTTTAGCCATTTGTGTAAACCAAGACAATAGAACTCACAGCGCATATTACTAGACACAGTTTAGTTCTCACTATTGTGTTCATTTTGGCCCTGAACAACTTGGTCTTTCATGAGTGGTCTAGAGAATTGTAGCCCTTCACAAATCTCATAGAACCGGCCCAGTTCACACTCACATAGGTGATTCTTATGAAGAGTATCCTGCCATACTCCACTAGGTATACTTAGATATAAGAATCATTAAAAGTATTACTTAACCTAAAACGCTACAGACATCACTATTTCATCATAGAAATAGGTAGGAGTTTGACTCCCCAGTGTTCCTTCTTAGTCATTCACAACTCGGTTGTCCTTTTGAACCTAAATCTTGGGATCTCCAGTCAACTAGGTTGGGTTGCTGTTGTGGTAACTCTTATTTAATAGGCTTAAGTCCCATTCCCCTCGATGAATTTTCAACTAACTCTCTTGCTAACCCTTTGGTTAATGGATCTGCCTTGTTGTCTTTAGACTTCACATATTCAATGGAAATAATTCCATTAGAGAGTAGTTGTCTCACGGTGTTATGTCGATGACGAATGTGTCGTGACTTACCATTATACATATGACTCTATGCTCTACCAATTGCTGATTGACTATCATAATGTATGCATATAGCAGGCACTAGTTTTGGCCACATTGGAATATCTTCAAGGAAGTGGTGAAGCTATTCTGCTTCTTCTCCAGCTTTGTCTAAAGCTCTGCATTCTGATTCCATAGTAATGCAAGTCTGTTTGGAAGATTTCCAAGATACAGCCATCCCACTAAGAGTAAAGACATACCCACTGGTGGACTTTGAGTCTCTAGTATCCGATATCCAATTTGCATCACAGTACCCTTCAAGTACTATTGGATATCTAGTATAATTAAGCCCAATGTTACGAGTAAATCGGAGATATCTAAGAACTCTTATAATTGCTTTCCAGTATTCTACTCCCGGATTACTCGTATATCTACTTAATTTACTTACTGCATAAGCTATATCTGGGCAAGTGCAATTTATCAAGTACATTCAGCTTCCAATAATTTGGGCATACTCTAATTGAGAAATACTTTCATGTACATTCTTAGAAAGAAACAAGTTAACATCCATAGGTGTTCTAGCAAGATTATCATCATCTTTGCTAAATTTGTCAAGTATTTTCTCAATGTAATGAGATTATGACAAAGCATAACCTTCTGATGTTTTGGTAATTTTCATACCAAGAATTACATCAGCAATGCCCATGTCCTTCATGTCAAAATGTTTATTCAACATTTTCTTAGAAGTTTTAATCATATCATTAGTACTACTTATGATGGGCATATCATCCACATAAAGACATACAATGACATAACCTTTGTTTGTGTTTTTAATATAAACACATTTGTCACACTCATTAATTTTAAATCCATTTGACATCATTGCCTTGTCAAATTTCTCATGCCATTGTTTTGGTGCTTGTTTTAAACCATGTAATGATTTAACCAATTTACACACTTTCTTTTCTTTTCCTGGAACAGAAAAACCTTCTGGTTGTTCTATGTAAATTTCTTCATCTAACTCACCATTTAAGAAAGCAGTTTTCACATCCATTTGATGAATTTCAAGATTGTACAACGATGCAATAGCAATTAGCATTCTAATGGATGTTATTTTAGGAACCGGTGAGTATGTGTCAAAGTAATCAAGACCTTCTTTTTGTCTAAACCCTTTGATTGCAAGTCTTGCCTTGTATTTGTCAATAGATCCATCCGCTTTTATTTTTCTCTTGAAAATCCCCTTGTACCCAAGAGGTTTACAACCTGGTGGCAAATCCACGAATTCCCAAGTGTGATTTTGCAAGATGGATTCAACTTCGCTATTTACAGCTTCTTTCCATAAAGGAGCCTCAGGACTAGACATAGCTTCTTTAAAAGTTAGAGGTTCATTTTCTAACAAAAATGTTAGAAAATCTGGACCAAAAGATTTTGAGGTTCTAGCACGTTTACTACGCCTAGGTTCTTTTTCCTCAATTTTGATCTAATCTTTGCTCTTGTTCTTGATCTTGACTAGTAAAGCATCAAAAGATCTTTTATTATTACTAGTCTCTTGTCCAGTTTTATTTAGAAATACAAGTTCAAATAATGATGCATTCCGAGATTCAAATAATATATTATATAACATTCAAAATGTTCTGATCTATGAATCAAAAACCGATATGCACTACTATTCTTGGCATAACCAATGAAAATACAATCATAAGTTTAGGACCTATCTAGTCTTTTTAGGACTAGGAATAGCTACTTTAGCCAAACACCCCCACACTTTTAAGTATTTGTAGGATAGTACTCTCCCATGCCATATTTCATAAGGTGTTTGATTCATTTTCTTTTGGGGTATTTATTAAGTATATAATTACCAGAAAGTATTGCTTCCTGTAGACACCCCATTTTGACTGACCTTAAGACTCGGACGTCACCAGTTGAGCGCTCGGTGATATTGCATATTGCGCTCGTTCAGAAGTTTCAGAGTCCGCTGCAAGCCTTGCCTCCGGACTTCCCGACTCTTTCATGCCTTGCCTCGGTTTGCGAACCAGGCTTCTATTTTCTTTGTTTTCTCTTCCGATGGAGGGAGAGGTCTCGAGACCATCTCTCAGTGGCCGTAGGCTACGTTTCGTGGTCGTAGGCCATTTTTTCCCATTTGGAGCCCGGTTTCTGGTTTTTCGGAGCCGTCGGCCGTGTGCCTCAGTTCGAGACCGCTTAACCACCTCGTTTGCTCCGGTTTTTGCATACACCTTATTTACTCCCTTTTGAGGGACACTGGGTTCCAAGAGACCAACTTCGTGGTCAAACGCCACCTCCGGTGCTTAACAGTCAGTTTCGGGCCCCCAAACCGCGTGTTTTGGCCCCGAACCTTCGTTTTGCATCGGTTTTGGTTCATTTTGGGTGGAGACCTTATTTTCATAGTTAGGAAGCTTGTAGAAGGGTGGGAGGCCAGCCATTGTTCTGAAAAGCCAGCTTCATTCCTTCATCGCTCTCCCGACGCCCGTTTTTCCTCACTAAAAAGCCAATGTTGACCACCCGGGGCCACTTTCTTGAACCCCAAACCCCATATTTGTGTTGTACACACCTGGGAGGCCACCAATATTTGGGTGGCCGACCAGTAATTACTCCTGACCCTTTTGACCCCCTCTAAAAAATGGTCTTTTCTCTCTATTTGTTCACTTTTTTTGGTTTCAATCACATAGTTGTGTTTGTGCACACATGGGAGACCACCAATATGAGGTGGCCCGACCAGTAATTTTCCTTGGCCCTTTGACCCTTGGTCGGCCGCATGGGAGGTGGTCGGCTGACCACCTGAACCCCCAAAAACTAGCCGGCCATGACCCCTCACCTGGTTCCTTACAAATCT